TGGGGCTTCCCCTCAATGTCCTCATCGTATTTCTCGAGTATAGCTCGTTCAATTGGATTACCTAGCTCATCATATTGCTCTTCATATACATTATAACCATAACTAAGGGGGTTAAGCTTTTTGTTGGATACATTCTTCTTGTATCGTTCATCGTCAAGCATGTTGACATTAACCAAAGTATCACCCTCTTCCTCATTGAGAACGTCCTGATCCTTGAGAGTTAATATTACGGTTCGGCCCTCACCAAAGTCATCCATATCATGCTCAACACGCAAACCCTTCAAATTTCGATCATTATAGGCCAACTGACGAGCTTTTTTCTTCTCTTCTTCCATTATCTCGGCAACACCGAACGCCTCATCAAGTTCCTCCAGCTCTTTGGCCTGTTCCAATCAAATATTTACATTATTTGGGTTGCAATGTTATTGAATCCATGTCTTACTTACCTTACGCAATGCCTCCTCGCGCTCATTAACGACACGCTTGTTGCGGTCCACCCATTTGGTGACATTGTCCGTTTCCTCATCTGATTCGCCAAGGGTACGAATGCGTGCCAGTCGCTCTTCAAGGAAACGTTTCTCCTTCCGTTGCTTAAGCTTTTCTCGCAGTTTTTCGGCTTCCTTTTTCTCTTTGATATTATCGGCAGGCTTGTGCAAAAATTCGCCCCATTCGTCCTTGTATGAAGAGAGATCCTTATCGGCGCCAGTTCTTTTGCTATCCTGTTGACTGTCACTGCTAGCAGACGGTGCTGGCTTGGTCGACCCCGTGTCCACTTCAAGTGGCTTCAAGCCGAGCTTAGCACGCAACTTGTTTGTCTCTGCAATTGAAAGAACATCCCCGGCTCCATTCTCTGGAATAGGCGAATGACTACGTGAGCGTACACGTTCTCGTTCACGTCCAGGTTCTCGTTCACGTACAGGTTCTCGTTCCCTGTTGCCACGTTTACGACCAGCGCTCGTCTCGCCTTTGGGTGAATGGGAACGTTGCCGATGCGCTTGATGTGGGGCTATTGGTGATTGTGACCGAGAGCTGCCACGCCCACGCTCGCGCTCTTTTACTGCTCTCTTACGTGATTCGCGCTCACGTTCTATTTCACGCTCTCGTCGACGCTCGCGCTCATAGTCCAAATGCTTGGATATTTGTGGCGGTGGCGGAGCTGTAATTTCATGATCTCGATCTCGTGTCGATGGTTCACGCTCCCGAGCTGGTTCGCGATCACGGGCATGAGTGTCCCGCTCTCGAGTGGGTTGCTCGCGCTCTCGAACAGAGGGTTCCCGCTCGCGAACCGATGCATCACGTTCCCGTACCAATTCTCTTTCTCTTTCTCGAGTTGGCACATCTCGTTCCTTAGTTGACGATTCACGTACTCTTGGCTTTGAAACTTGTTCGATTGGCACCTCCACACAGTCGGAACCTGTAAAATAAAGTGAAGAACCTTAAATACAGCTTCAAAGTAATCTTTGTCTGCCCAATGGCTTCGTTGCATTTGTTGCCCTCTTTTTTCACTCACAGTTTGTTTACCTGAAAGCAACAAATAAAAAGAAAAGAACAACAAAACTTTAGTGAGTTCTGATCGCATAGAGTGCAGCCCCAGAGCAAATGCGTGGCACATAGCACATAGAATAAACCCAATAATATCGCTTTTCGTGTTTAGATATTGCATGCCGGGCACGCAGTTACTCCTTTCATGGGGCTGCACAGTCCACTAAAAGTTACGCTACTTACTATCAGAATCCGACTCCTCTAGGGATATAACCTCGCTCGGTCGCTCACGCTCCTTTTGCTTGTGGTGCTTGTGACGGTGCTCCTTGTGTTTCTTGTGCTTGTGGTGTCTGTGGCGCGTTGACGACGAGTCGTCTGTGAGATCCAGAGTAACATCCTCATCCGTTCCACGTTGTTGTCGTTCCCGTGAGCGTGAGCGATGACTGTGTTTCTTCTCCTTCTTATGTTTTTTCCCAGACGAGGAACCCATTTTAATGATTCTTTGCTATTTTTGTCAACTTTACCAATTTTATAAACGTTTTCACTGTATTCTCTTTTCTTTTTTATTATGCTTCGGGAATTTTTCAACACTACAGCAAAGAGTATGCGCAATATCGCAAACAAATATATCGACAAATATATCGATAAGATATCAGGTGGGTTTTTTTTAATAGTTAAGCACGAGAATTGACGAACATTGAGATGTCTGGCAGCACAAAATTAAATTCTTGGCGGATATTTTCAATTTAAAAAAAAATAGTCTACATTCATATCTTTATTTTAAATAAATGCGTATATATGAATATATCATTTTATACATATCTATATATGTAACCTAATCTCCAATAAATATATAAATTTTACCTGATGTATATCTTAATTAACACGATCCCAGCGCCAAACTGTGCTATCATCACATACACAAATCAAAGTGGATCCATCCTTAGAGAATGAAGTTTGTCTAATGGTTGATGTACATTTGGGATGTACAAGTTGGCTGCATTTGGTCAAATTCGGATCATTTGAGTCCAGCTCCCAGACAAATGTTGTGCCCAGCTGATTGCCCAATGCGAGGACTTTTTGCCACGCATTGAACGCGAACCGCACAAACCAAATCTCGCACATTTTATAATCGAAATGATGAACAGTTGTCGAATCCTGTGGCTTGATTTCATGGCGCTGCGCAAACAACTTTCCCGGCTTCCAGCACACAATCGAGTTCTCACACGACTTTGAAAATATAAAGTCACCAAACCACTGAACGCAGTCCACATAATTACGATGAATGTCGCGAGTGGAGAAGTCTGGAAAGTGCTCCTTTATGGTGGGAAATGGTGCCGTATTTTTGCTGGCATTAAAGCTCGAGCTTAGTTCGATGGCCTCCTTAATTTCGGGCTTATTGAGGCGCCACAGCTTTAGTGAATGATCCATGCCGCTGGACATAATGCGATCGCCGCGCAAATCAAAATCGATCGATAGAACTTCGTCCCGATGGCCCTCGACGCCGCCGAAAACAGCAACACAAACATCCGTTTGTATATTCCACAAGCGCAAAGAGTGATCCTTGCTACCCGAGAGTAACAATTGCGGCAAAATTGGATGAAATTTCAATTCATTTATCGCATGCCCATGACCAATGTAATTCTTCGCGCATTGATGCTTGATGATATTGAAAATGCGTATTACACCACGATAACCCGCTGCAGCCAGAACCGGATCACCGGTTGCGGCATCATAAGACCAAGCACAAGTGTAGAAACTTTCATCTGTCTGTAAACAAATTGGGTAAGAAATCCAACAGTAATTATGCATATTTATAACGAACTTACATCTGGGTCTGCATAAACCTGCAGCAAACGTATGGTGTCTGCATCGCTAGACTCAGACTCAACATTATTTTTAACACATTCATAGATAGAGACACGATCTTTGCCCACAGTGGCGAACACGGCTTGGCTTCTATCCAGATGGGGATTGAACTGAACGCCAAAGATTTGATGATTGTGATCCTCGCGCACATGATGGCTGAAAGAGATATTCAAGTAGGTAAATCATGTTCAATGCCGACTATGGCGCTGAAATCACCTATATTTGTATGAAGGCTGCACCATTTTTGGCGCCTTCGCACGTCGGCACAGTCTTCTTAGTTTTCTTGTGTTAGGGGATTTGCTATTGCTGCGTGTTGTTGTTGTTGTTGTAGTCGAGCTAAAGACGCTGGCCGAGTCCAGGGAGTGCGTATCCTCGATGTCGACAATGGGTATTGCCACTGGAGATGTGCCAGTTATTTGAGGTGATGTTTCGGATACTATGACATCTCCATTTGCTAAATGCTCCTCTTTACTTTCGCTAGAACTATTATCCGTCATTGCGCGACTCGCCGAATTGTTTACTTCTTTTGCATTGCCGCAGCGTTGCCACCTTGCTAGAAGAAAAGTACTCAGCAAAGTTTAAATAAAATACCAATTGGCATCCAGCAGCTAACATACATATATACATATATGTATTTGTGGTCAGAGAATACAAAGAGATGGATTAGCATTAGTATCTGTATTCATCAACATCGCCTATTAAATTTCCCTGGACCGATTCCCCTCATTGTGCAAATTTCCACCTTGCTAACGCCACCTAACGCTCAGCTAGGCAAATTGCCTATTTAAATAAAATACTGCAATTTTTTACTATATTTTAATTTTTTTTACATGTGTGACAAATGTATATGACATGCATTTCTAACGACGTTCAGTCTGATTGGCCTTCAGCAGCTCATCAATATACTTGTCCACTTCCTCGTGAGCCTTTAAGCTGTGATCTGTGCGGGAGAATATCTCATTTATGAAATACATACGGAGCAAGTCGGCCTTTGTTTGCAGTAGTTGCGCCTGCGCTTGCTGCAATTTGAGCTCATGTCCCAGATGCGGACCCATCTTTAACTCGGCAGCCTTCATCATAAGCGAACACTTGTGCCGGGTCATATGTACCAGCTTCTCCAAGCACTCACGTTGCTCCTTTTGCATTCTAATTATTTCTTGCTGTCCTTGCGTTAACTGAGCCTCCTCTTCTTTTACCAGTGCACCTGGCAGTTCAGTACGTATTCTATCGCCCAACTGTGCAATTGGCGTTAGGATCGTACGCAAATTTTCCGCCAATTTGGTGCGGACTGCTTTACTGTCAATATAACTGAGAGGGGGACATCTACTACATTCCTGCAAGTCTATAAGCGTGTGTGTAAGGTGTAGAAAACAAATATGTATATCTTGCATATATATATGCAAGCACTTTTCTCTTACCTAGCAAATGCTCCTGATCATCACCCAGACGTATATAATCGGCCACCGAAACCAATTTAAGAGCTCGTTTAATTTCCGGAGTCTCTTCAGGTCCAAGATTTAAATTACGAATTTCATTCAATATTAATTTCAGCTTTAAAACTTTTTTGAGCTCTTGGTCACGTTCCTCTAATAACTCTTGGGTTCCAGTGCCCACCATCGTGTTAGGGATATCATCCATTTCCATTGCAGATGTTTTTACTCTTTCTTTCAAACAATGCAGCGCTAAGCAGGGCTAAGACAATTGGTGTTGAAAAACAAATTTGCGGCATCGGCTTTTCTTGAGACTCGCATCACAAACTATCGATATTGATCGAACGCAGAATTAAATATCAATCCCGTCACAAGGTCACATTTTTCGTAATTTAAAAAATAAAGTATTATATTATAAATAAATATAATAAATATTGAATTGATGCTTCATTAAGCGAACAACCTCTAAGAGTGGAAAAAGTGAGTATTAGAAATGGAAATGGAATTAGAAAATGGAATAAAAGCAATCAAGTTTCAGTGCTTGCTTCATTAAAAAGCTGTATATTATGGACGACGCTTGGATTAGCAGGTGGAGCATTCTTGAAATACAATATATATAAGAGAAACTCAAATCGAGAAGTTCTAAAAATTTTGATATTCAACGAACTGAGCTTCAATTGTCCCAGCAGACATGTTAAGAACCAGGGGTCTGATCATTGCAGCAAATATTGCTGCAGGCGTCACATACAACAGATCATTCAACAAATCGATGGGGCCGTATATGCTATAGACATTGCCATCTACACATTTACAATCAGTGAATTACTGACTGCATTTTCTCGAGCGTTGAGCCGTGGTGTCGTAATACGCGTTATTACCGATCTCGAAATGATTAACTCTTCTGGCTCTAAGATCTTGACCTTATTCAACTCCGGTGCTGAGGTTCGTACACCAGCGTCAACGGCTATGATGCACCACAAATTCCTGGTGATTGATGAAGATTCACGTGTAAAGCAACTTTTGCAATGTAGGGGCAAACCAACTAAGCTACAAGCTTCTTTTGGTATTATGTTCTATGGCTCCGCCAACTGGACAGCTCAAGGCTTTAATGGCAACTGGGAGAACGGTGTGATCACCTCCGATAAACTCTTACTGAGTCGATTTCAAACAGAATTTGACAGAATGTGGGAATCCTTTGTACAATTTTCGCCACCCAAACCAAAAAGGTTTAGTAATCAATGTACATAGTTTATTGACTTAATCTAGCTAATTATTCTGAGAGTCAAGACCACAGTTATAAATATTTTTTAACTACTTGGCCTGTTGTTTTAATTTTTCTAGCCGGCGTGTAAACGTCTCCTTTAATGCATTCAGTCTTTCCAGTTCTGAGCGCATCTCTATATATTCTAAATAGGAAACCTCCGATTTGAGCAATATTTCGTGCTTAAGTTTCAGCACGCGGTTGACTTCTTTTTGCTTTTGTTTTGTTTTAGTTAGCTTCACTGTTAGCGAACTGTCTTTTGTTTTCTTTACCGTCTTTGATTTCTTAGATTTCTACGAAAAACGTAAATAGTTTAATTCAAATCAAATTTAATATTTTTAGTTTTCGACTTACTTCCATTTTTGTTTTGTATTATTGTTGACGATATGCAGTTTGGGAATCATCTGCAAATGTGTTTAGTTAGAGAGGCCATATTTTTTTGATACTCAAATAATCGATAAGTCAGTTATAACTAGTCGATAAACGTGTACGAGAAATATACAAGAACAATTGTGTTTGTTGATAATTGTACAGTTCTGTTTTCTTTATTTTTTTTAAATGAATGCTCTTACGGATAAAGTACTGGTGACCAAGGAGGCTCTGGCTGTGGCCCTTGGTGATAATTGGGAACGGTACAGAGCAAATATGAAAAATTGGTTTCGCAATCGTTGGACGAAGGAGGAATTTGATTGCGAATGTCGAAAAATAATGACGCCCGACAAACTCCATTTGCACAATCAATTCTTACTGGCGCTGCTCAATAAAATCGATGCATTTGCTGCTCCTGAAACAATTGCCACCCTTCAGCCCACCTACACATCGAGCAGCCGAAGTAGCAGCGGCACAGCTGGCAGCAGCAGCAGTCGGAAACGTAAGCGCAGCTCTCGCACATTTGCGGATCGGATAAATTTCGAGCTATGCGATGTGCTGGAGTTTGTAAAAGAGGACAATATGCAGTTGATACGCCCGCCCACATTAGCCGGTGACCAGGGAATGCAGCAACAACAACAACTGCCCACACAACGCTACTGTGCCCAAGAACTATTCCTGCCCGACGCTGGATTCATAATGGGACGCTTTTTGATTGGCGCCTGGGAGATTGGTTTGATCTCTGTGGAAGACAGTGTAGCCGAGTATGTGGCCATGGCCGTCCAGGTGCTGCTCAAAGATTTGATAGCATCGATTATTAAGAAGCGCAAACATTATAAGACTACCGGCGAAGGGAACTTTTTCTACGATGTGGGCGCCCAGCTGCGTGATCCTTCGCTGCGCAACACAGTCACACGACAGAAAGTGGACGACACGCCACTAGAACACGACAAAGAGCTGAACACAGCTAACTTTATGAGAAGACAAAACGATGACATTGTCTTTCTTTCGGCTTGCGAGCAAGTGTAAGTACTGCAAGGGTTGCAAATCAACTGAAGAACTAACTCTACTTTATCTTTTTCATCTAGTTTACCCTGCGAACGTACTGTTATCACATTGAAAGATTGCCAGCGTGCTTTTAGGGACCGCAATCTAATTGGATCTCACACTGTTTACTCTATCAATATGGAACGCTTAAATATGATGATGCATTAAAGAATTTGTACTCTGCATAGTATCTATTTATAATATTCAATAACAATTGTTTTTAACAAAGCTCACGAGGCGGTGGCTTAAAGGGCACCTTTCCGGGAGCAAATTGTTCCGCTTTGAAGGCTTCTATCTCCTCAGCTGTAAGATCCTCCATGCGACTATATACTGAGGAAGTGGTACCAGGCTGTTGCAGCTGCTGTTGCTGTTGTTGCATTTGTTGAGTTGAGTCTGATTGCATTTGTTGCTGTTGCTGGAATCCGCCCGCTGGCTGAGTGAAAAATCCACTTGAGGGCTGAGCGGCTGCTTGTGCAAATATGTTGCCTGTGTTGGCTGTGACCGGCTGTGGCTTGGTGAACATTCCGCCCATAAAAGGTTGTTGTTGCTGCTGCTGCTGTTGTTGTTGTGGCGCAAAGGCAACAGATTGGCCGAATGGTGTAGCGTTTGTTGGCTGTGGCTGTCCAAAGACACTGTTGTTGTTAGATACAGGTGCTTGTGCCTGCCCAAAGGGATTCGGCTGTGGCTGTTGCTGTTGCGGTTGGCCAAATATGGATGCTTGAGCCTGTCCAAGTGGCTGTTGTTGTCCAAAGAGACTGGGCTGTTGCTGCTGTTGTCCTGCAAACGTTTGCGTTTGCGACTGTTGCGTAAAAATATTTGTATTTTGTGCTGATGCAAAAATGTTGTTGCCGGCATTACTAGAACCGCCAAAGATTGAGTTTCCCGCTGAACCGAAGCTTGTAGTCACAGTAGAACCACCACCAAAAATATTCGAACTGGCGGAGCTCAAAGCGGGTTTGCTAAAAATTGAGCTGGATTGCGCAGCGAAAGGATTGTTGTTATTAGTTGCTGGTTGGACTCCCTCTGGTGTTTCATATAGCTTGATCATTACATCGATTACTTGTGGTGGGAATTGCAGCATTAGCTTCATTTTCATTGTCGCATCATGCACTTCCTTGGTGAACTGCTGATGGAATTGATCGAAGCAGTTTTGCCGCTGACTTTCATATGCTTGAAATCGAACCTCTTCGAAGGATTGGTCTTCTATGAAGTTGGGTATATTAGGTTTATCCTTAAACGGCCCATACACCGATAAGGGCCACATTTTGCCATTGATGGAAGCTTCAATGTCTGTCTTCAGATATTGCCTTAAATTACATTTATGATCAAACTCAATCTTTTAATATTACTATATGCACTTACTTAAAATCAAAATGTTCGTTATGGCATTTTGCACCGAAGCGGCAAGAGCCCTGTTGAAAAAAACGGCATACTCCCATTGTATCGTTTATTTCAAATATAATTTGCGAATTGTAAAATCCAACTTAATTTTTTCGCGCAACTCGGAGCATCTTTTCAAGAATTACCAAACAGCTGACCGTGTTTTCGACACGTTGCTGCCAACTTGTTTTAAACATTTTATGAGGGCTGCTCTCATACTGATATAAAAATGGAGCACAAACCAAAAAAATTTAATTATTTTTAAAAAATTTTCGAATTAGTTATAGTAATTTTCGATTTAAATTAAAACTTCTAGTTTATCCATGTATAAACTTTTCTCGATAAAATCGAAATATATAGTAATCGATATGATATTACAACCTCCGACTGTCTACTGTGCTCTCAAACTTGTTGCTGTTAACAGCTGTTAAATAACATAAATATTTTAATTTGTTGTTGGAATTTGAGCGGGTTGGTCGACGCGTCGGCTTGTCACGGATAAAATGTTGACGCTTGTAAATTATTGCAAAGATAAAACACACGCCTTGAGCGTTCGCTCCTTCAACTAGTTTCATATACACTAAGAAACTTCGCTGTATACAACACTGAAACAAAAAAAGAGCAACTAGTCTCGGTGATCGTTTTGCGTTTGCGTCTGCGTTTGTGTCTCTCGAAAAGGGCAGGCAGGAAAATTCAAGCCAATAAAAGATACATACTAAAAGCCGATGTGCGCGAAAATTGTGTCTGCTTGTTTTTGCGTGTGCATATAAGTGTGTGCGTGTATTGTATTTTGTTTGCAAGAAGCTACTAAGCCAGTGATACTATGTTATTGCCTTCAAATTGTGCCACCATCTGCTGTTATTCAAACAATTAATTGCGGCTACGCTCTGCGTTTGCATCGGAATGTGGCAACATCAGCGACGCGCATGCGTTTTCAAATACATATCTTCGCAATTGTCACGATCGCGGAACTGTGCAGCTTAACGCACTCAGTGCGTCAAGTCAACTACTGTAGCTTGCTGCTTCTTCTTGCCTGTGCAAGTATCTTCCCCCAAAAGTGTTTAAATAGCATAGAAAGAGAAGCGTAACGCAACTGTCAAGCAAGCCTCTTGAGGCACACATACTTGTGCATAGGTATTACATACATACATCTATATGTAGGTAAGTACACACTCCTTCCACCCACTGTCTATGCCCTGCCATTCTGAAACTCTACCTCTAACCATCTCTAACTGCCCGCCCACTTGCCAGACGATTTATAAGGCAAACAAAATTAACTCATAGGTTTGGATAGGAACCTTCCCTCCTTGTCTTTCGTTCCCATCTCCCCTCTCCATGAAGCCGCACAAATTGCTCTATTCTGGCATGTGACGCCTACTTGGCTGCACATTGGGCGCGCCCACAACTTTTGTTTTTCTCTCCGGTTTCCATTGTTGCCCACTTGGCAAGACTTTAATAAATAAACAGTCCAAGATATTGAACAGATTTTCCGAAAGGAAAAAAAGTAAATTAATTTTCAAGACAAACAGGCCACCAGCACAAAGAATAAGAGGAAGAATTTTACAGGCAGAAAAGGGTCAAACTTAAAACGACAATAACATCAATTTTGAGGCATTTATATGCGCCAATAAATTTCACAGTGAAACAAGAGACTACAACAACAACAAAAGAGAAGAAAAAGATGCACGGCAACGACTCAACAATAAGAGAGATCAAACAAAAAACTGCAGTCGCTGCCGACGCTGCTTTCGTCTTTGTTGTTGTTGTTGTTGTTGTTGTTGGTGATGTTTTTATGTGCTGCAACAGGTAAAACTGATTGAGCAGCGGCCAACAACAAACAGTGCAGCATTTCGAAATGTAATGTGCAGCAAATCAATACGAAAATGCATGCAATACAATCTGCAGTGAAAGAGAAAGACAGAGATGGAGAGAGGAGCGCCATGCGGAGTTGAGCCTCTGGCAACCTGTTGCGTCGGCTGCTGCTGCTGTTAGAAATATGTTAAGTCAATTTTGTGTATCGATAAACTGTAACTAATGCTAAAACAGCATGCAGCTAACAACGACATCAGCCCTACAACAATTATGCAAAGTTCGTTGAACGAACTTTTTGTCAATGAAGTCGTTGGATGGCAAAAAAAAAAAATAAATAAATAAATAAATAAAACTTTCTTTTCCTTGTGAGCTTATCACGCAGCATCGGTGAATGCGTACACCGACTGCTGCTGCCGCTGCTGCTGCTCCAATGGCTGCTCTCTTTTCGTGACGTTCTGTGTGTCTCTTTCTTTTTTTTTTTTCTTTTTGTATAATTGGGCGGCTTTTTAGTTTTACGCGGCTGCAGCATATCAGCTTCATGGTTCATTAAGGCAATATATAGGTTGCCCCTTTTACCACTCCCAGTGTTAACGCTGCGTGGGAAGTTTGGAATTTAGTATTGGTGTGTCTGCCAATGTATATATACATATATGTGTGTGTGTTGATGTGTGTTTGTATGTTGTTGTCATCTTTGGGTCCATCTTTGATTTCCTCCCATTGAACGCTCAACTGGCCGCAACAAGTGTCCCAGTTTATGGCCACAGCAGAGGCAACTAGAACAAGTTATAGTTTAACTTTCCTCTAGGCTTTTAGAGATTTTTCTTACGCTGCTATTGCCTCGCCTTCCCCTATTAAAGTTGGCAACATTTTCCCACATAAGCAAGCGCACAGTAGAACGAATGCTGTTGCCAACTTTTGCATTGGCGCGCCTCTAAAATGACAACGGCACATCAGAAAAGAGAGGTAGCCATCGGGAATGCTGGCATTAGAGAATAAGAGAATTCTTTAAGAACATACGTTACAAATTATTCCTTGAAATGGATGAGAGTTAGCATGCAAACCGAATGCTAATTTTATTAAAGTCTAAATCTATTATAAGATTAGTCGAAGATTAAATTAATAGACCATAAAGCATCTCATGGATATCAAGTTTAGTTTAGATATTTCGCAGATGTAAAATATAAACTGCGAATGTTCTGTGTAAAGAATGTGCCGGAGATGTCTCATATACAGATTTCTCAAACATTTTAGCCAACTTTCTTATAAACAATGGCTTGTAAGCCAGTAAGTAATGGATGTGATAGCAACTTACCAAGACAGCGACCTCTTCTATTATATACTTATTCTTCTAATGAAATAACAAGTTCAAGCTTCCTGTACTGAAGCGTCGGCATGCTTTAGTTACAGTTATATTGCATAGCCGCGCCACATTTGAGCCAACATCAACTAGCTACCAACAATGCCCGCCTCCTAAGCATCAAGCCCCAAAGCTCTTGGTCAGCAGCGGATGCAACGCCGCTAATGCCATTGTCTGTGTGCTCTGTGCAGAGAATGTTGCAATCCAATGCAATGCAATGCAATGTTCATCATTTTTGTTGCAGTTGCTGTCAACGTTACTGCTGCTCTTGCTGTTGCTGTTGCTGTTGCTGCTGTAGCTGCTGTGCCTTCTACTGCTACTGCTGCCTTAGTGCGATAAACATTTCAGTAATTTACATAAAATGTTACTGCACATAAAACAACGGCTGCGAAATTTCTTTGGCTTAGTTGCTTGGCCAAAACTAATATCGCATGCACAAATTAACATTAACACTTTGCTTGCCGTTAAAAAACTAGTTTTGTGCTGAGCTAAAACACTTAAACAAAAAAATAGTGCCACAAAAGTTGTGTTAGAAGACAAGAAAGCAGAATCAGGAATATGTCAATATAGACGACACAGAAATGCCCTATAGCGTTAAGAGAAAGAGCTTTTGAGAATATAAATTGAATTATTACACTAATACATTTATATTGGCGACAATACTAAGTAATTAATTATAAACTTACGTTCAAAAATTCTTATCAATTCTATGATTCCTTATATATCTTGTTGCTCCATATACTTTATTATCGTTTGACTACATCTTAGTCACAAATCTGCAGATAGCCGATTATTACAGGGTATTCAATGATCGAAATGACAGCATCAAAGCAGTACATTTAGAAATTAGAAAGTACGTGGAACGTTGCTGTGTTAGTATAACTCGATTTGTGACTGTCATAAATGGCGGAAATTGTGGGTCTCAACATAGTCGCCACAGCCTCGGCTGAGCGGTTTCAGACTTCGTTGCTTACTTTCCACCGGCACTGCGACTGCCGCACTGCCACTGCCACTGCCACTGCTTTCAGCCAGCTGCAGATAGCTTTAGTCTCTCTCTTGGCTATAATGTGTGCCATCAGCATTTTGTTGTCGTTAGCTAGCTGGCTTGATGCAGCAATGAAGCGTGCGTCCGAACAATTCTGCATCTGTGGTAGCTATTAGGCTGCCCTCTTTGATAACGTGCGGCCCTTTAAGTATGCGTTATGTGGGGAGGCCAAGCAGCTATACATTCATTTTGCTTGCCTCCCATATTTTTTTAAATTTTATTTTTATGACTTATTCAATTTGCAGCGATAATGAAAACCGGCTACAGGTCTGTGGCAATACCAGGGCAGAGCAACAATCTACGTTCATTAATACCCTTAGTGTGACTTGGATTTAAAGTCGAGCAGCCACAGCATCCGACAAGACTTCAACCAAGTTTTGAGTTTTGAGCGTGGCACAGCTGTTGAAAGACGATTCACAATTCCCTCTTTCATCTTGAATCAACCATGGTTCAGTGGTTTCATATAAATTGTTGCGTGCGTATTAAATTACCTTTTGCACAGCCTCAATACATTTCTTTTTTTGCCAGCCGAGCAGTATATAATTAAATTTATAAAGTTGACTTTATATAAAGCTGAATCAAAAGGGTTAACTAGATCTTCGGGGCTTGTAAAGGAATACAATTAGGTACAGCTTAAGATTGAGATATATAAGATTATACTTATATAATAATATAATTGCTATCTACATCTATGTAGATATATAACATATATAACAGTTAATATAATACTGACTTCACATACGCTGCCTTCTACATAACTCTTTAAACGTCCTTTAATGGCATAACAAATCATTCAAATCCGGAAGTTTCTGTCGCTCAAAGGCGACCGACCGCATTATGCTTTAATATGCATTGAACACGTCGCGTAAGCGGCTTTTGTTTAGGAAAGGAAATAGAATTCCCGACAAACGCACACACGCGCACAATCTTTATAACCATTTTAATGATTTCCGCTTTAATGGCATTGTTACTACATCTTCATATTAGTCGGGTGTAACCGATCGCATCATACTCAGCCCAGAATGTCATAGCAGTATCAAAATGTCGATTGATAGTAATACAAAATTAGGTTAACTGTATGCTTTCCTGAATATTAGTAAAAACCAATTTAATATTGTGACTATGAAAAAAATATACCTGCTTATGCTTACAGAAATATTACATCGATATACTCATTTGAACGCGGTGAGCAGGAAAAAACGAAGACAATTAAAAGAAAATTAATTGGCCTGTATTGATATTGCCCATTTCCAGTGGCATTTATTGCGCATGCGTGCCCGACTGCGTTCCCAATGTTGCATTATTCTTGTTTTTTATAGTTTGTTCACGCTCGCTATGAGCTGTAAAAATCTGGTCGCCAAGAAAAGGGAGTCTGACCTAATGCTTACGTAATGCGTTTCATCTTTATACCTTTGTCCCATTGAAAATGGATGTATTTAATGGCATGGAATTGATAAACAAAATGCTTGCTAACCCCATAAATCTTAAACACGCTTATCTTGATCGGTATTAATGTAAAAGCTTTCACGCTCATATACAAAAAGGTCTAATGGGTATATTCTTAGGGAGCACATCTTTGAATGTTGATATTACTTTTAAAAAAAAACTTCTGTTTTTTATATATTTAGATTCTATATATAATGTATATAAAGTACACATAACTACGATTAAATATAATTTCAAATTACTAGATGCATGGGCTAATTTCAACTACATATTTACAATCATTTTATTATATTGCTCAAATTTCTGCTCAATGATCATGAGTCTTCAATCATATTTATTTCTAGTCCAGTTAACATTTGTATATGTATACATGAGTATTTATGCATATGTGTATATATAGCTAAGTTTGTGAGACACTCCCTTATATCCAACATCTTGTGATCTAATAATGCGCAGTTTTCTATACTGTACCAATCCCCCAATAGATTGTGCGCATTACAA